CTTATAAAATATTCTACCTCTCTCTCTCTTTCTATAGCAATCATTTTAACGATTAATAATATATTTTCAGAAGTTTGTTTTACGTATTATTATCAATTTATGCTATATTAACGAAGTGATAGATGAAATAGCCACAAGCAGAGAATTTATTAGAATAATCTTATCTTATCTGCAAAAGAGCGAAGGGGATCAGGAAGTATTAACAAACATTATAATATTGTTACAATTAGCGGCATGTGAAATTCAGATAAATCCTGAGTCAGAATGGATAGTTCGTTTCAACGAATGTAAATTTTTCGGAGGGAGAATAATCTTCCTACTAAAATCTTCACAATTTCGGCTTGGTACATTAATATAAATAATACAAATATAATAACAATTTTTTTACGAAAAATCGTATGCTTATTTTTATACAAAATTTTTAATATTACCGAAATATATCTTATTATGTAATATACTATAATATATTGTAGGACAGTTGATTCTATCCAATTCAATTTTTGAAAATTTCTTTGTAGGTAGGGAAATAGTACATTTGATTGAATGTATACAAGAAATAAATTTGCCAGACCAAATCAATTTCGTTGAACAGCTATTTGATATTGATTCATTGATTCCTGCTAAGCAATTATTTCTCACACACGTCATACTGGACTGCAATGGGTTAAGGTTTTCAAAAGACGAATATTTTATCGAAACTTTTTTACGGTTTCTAATCATACGACGAATGGAAGTCGGAACTGACAAATATTTAACTGATCGTTTTAACTTGGTTGCATCGAACTTTGGGAATGAGAAATTACATCAAAAACTTGTTAATGACATTTATTTAGTAAACATTGATAAATGTATTACAGTATTATACCAAATTGTGGAAATGTTACTAAGTTTTCCATATATCCCAAAAATATATGGAGGAACTACAAATTACTTAAATGGTCTTCTGTTAATGATTTTAGCCATTTTAGAGCGAGGTACATTGAAATATGTATATGTGTGCGTGTAATGTATCTCACATTGCGGAATTCCTGTATATAGTTGCCTAATAATGTGTATTTTGTGTCTTTCTAATTATAGCAAAAGAACTACAGTTATCAGGAAAAACATATTTAAATATGCAAACGTTAAAGAAGCTCTTGTATATATATCGGTTGCATATTTTTAGACAATATACTTGTAAACAGATTGGATATATATTGATGAATTTAATGAAAAAGGACGAAATTTTTGAATACTTAGCTAATTGTATAAAACGAGATTTTGATATGATACCTGAGTTGTGTGAAAAAATGAAATATGTTGTAATCGCATGTCATGAAATTCATAATTAATTAGTGCTTTACCCATGTAATACAAAAATATAAAAAAGGTCTTTTCTTTGTTTATTTTGTATGTATATTAGTTGCAAAAGTATTTTTTTTTATTGGCAAGGTAACAGTGACAGTTTAATTTATTTTGTCGTGTTTTATCTCATATTTAACTAGAGAATATGTGAAAGCATATATAGAGACAGTTTTTCGTTATATATGTGAAGCTATTGATTAAATTTATTAAGTGTTCGATCAATTATTGGAATAAAATAATGTAAAATATTCGTAACTATGCGGATATGCGGTAGCTTCGCTTTGTACTTTGCATAAAACATGACCGTGTGTTCTAATTTCTTTAAAATTTCATTATCAATACTCAATCGATGTGAATAGCGAAATGGGAAGGAAATTTTTTGAATAGTATTTATAAATGTTATATATACACATATTTATAAATAATGTGCATAACTTTTTGTATATATATTATATATGTATATAAATATAATATTATATAATATGTATGTGTTGTATGTATATATTTATATACAATATTTAATATATATATTATAATTATAATGTATATATATAATATATATATATATCTAATATAATACACGACATATATAATATAATATATATAGTATAAAACACATACAATATATTCACAATAAAAATAAAGTTATGTTTGTAATTTTAATTGTAGAAGCGTCCGCAACTATATATGTATGACAAGAATTGATTGACGTATTCATTGGCAATATTGTATTTTTATATAATAAATCGTCTGTTAAGAGAAGTTGTGATTATTGATTATTAAAATGTGATTATTTTCTGCACTCGTTAATTAAGCACTGCGATGATTGAAGAAAGAGAATAACTTAGCGAACCACGTGTTAATAATAATTGAAGTCCGTGTAATTCAATAATAACATCGATATTGCGACGAAAAATTTTAAGATACGTTTTTTTACACAGCTTGTGTTTTTTTTATTTCAAAATACAATCTCACATGATTATCCTCGAATCTGTTACTTTGACTGTTATTCCAATTGCAAATATTAATCTATTATATAAGAGGTCATATTAACAGGAAAAAAGTGGCATCTTATTAATAAATTGGGAATTCATGAAATGTAATATAAATTTTATTCTTCTAAGTTCAAGATTTAATAAAAAAGTAAAAAGGAAAAAATTAATAAAACCGTCAAAGAAATATTGAAATACGTTCTATATTTATTATATAAGTTAATTAATTTATTATATAAGAATTTTAAAAAAATCGTGTTTATCAATATTCTATTATCGAAATATAATTATGCGACAAATGCAAGTCGGAATTGACAATTATATAACTGATAATCGTTTTAACGTGGTTGCATCGAACAAATTGGTATTTTCTGTTAATTCCAATTTTTTAAAAATAAAGTAATAAGGTATTAAAGATATTGAAACATTATGCCGTATTGTGAAAACTTATTGAGATTTTGTGGTATGTTCCAAAAATATATGGAGGCATTCGAAATTACTTAAATAGTAGGTATCATGTTAATTATTGATATTAATGATGTTAATTATTTTAGAACAAGGTAAGTTTAAATATGCATATGTATATGTGTACATGTAATATATATCTCATATTGCGGAGTTTAGGTATACAACACTTAAACTTGAGATTAGGCATATAAAAATATAAATACACAAATAAAAATACATATTTTTTTATTACTTTAACATTTAATAACATGTTTCAAGGAAAGACAAGAATTGAGATCACATACTTGAATAATATTCTATAACCGTTAGTCTTCTTAACACTTTGTTGGAATAATGTCATATCAATTTTTTTTTAGTAATTAGTATAATATAATCATTGTGATTTTAGTGATTAGTCAGATGTTACAGATTTAATTACTAAAATTTCGCGCTACGTTTAGATTTCATACGAATACGAGATATACGAAATTATTTAAAATTAATAAAACATTTAATTAATAAAAATTATTTATTTAAAAAATATTTAATTAATAAAAATTATTTTTAGCTGTACTAATGGCAATATATTATTACTATATTACTAATTACGATTGTAGCGACTATAATCATCGTGCAAGTTCGAGCTTCTTATTTTCACGTTAATATTTAATTAATTTATTAATTTATGGCTGAAAAATTATGAATATAAAAAAAATCGAATTACGAAATTATTCATTAAAATTAATTAAAATTATTTATCAAAATTATTTTTAGCTGTACTAATGGCAATATATTAATTACTATATTACTAATTACGATTGTAGCGACTATAATCATCGTGCAAGTTCGAGCTTCTTATTTTCACGTTAATATTTAATTAATTTATTGATTTATGGCTGAAAAATTATGAATATAAAAAAAAATCGAATTACGAAATTATTCATTAAAATTAATTAAAATTATTTATCAAAATTATTTTTAGCTGTACTAATGGCAATATATTAATTACTATATTACTGATTACGATTGTAGCGACTATAATCATCGTGCAAGTTCGAGCTTTTTATTTTCACGTTAATATTTAATTAATTTATTGATTTATGGCTGAAAAATTATGAATATAAAAAAAATCGAATTACGAAATTATTTAATTAATTAAAATTATTTATCAAAATTATTTTTAGCTGTACTAATGGCAATATATTAATTACTATATTACTGATTACGATTGTAGCGACTATAATCATCGTGCAAGTTCGAGCTTCCTATTTTCACGTTAATATTTAATTAATTTTTGATTTATGGCTGAAAAATGAGGAATATAAAAAAAAATCAAATAAAATGTCTAAATAACCTCGAGACGTTCACCATTTAAACTCAAAGAACGCATTAATATAGCTTTTCACCACGTAACAGTTGACATTTTGCAAAGTACGTGGGCAAAAGTGGACATCGTTAAAATAATAAAGATACACTGACCACATTGCAAACAACTACCACAGTTTGCACGTATTTCTGAAATAAAATATTTTTGTTTTGTATAGTATTTTTCCTTATATATTGACGAGTTTAATATCAATTAATGTATTAGAAAATGACTAGACTATTGAATATAATAAATCTACAGATTGTAATATGACACTAGATACATGAAAAAAATTAGTGGAAGCCATTTATTGCATTAAAGCAAATCCGTAATTAATTAATGTTGAATTTATGTAACACGAAATTTTGATGACACATTTTTTAAAGTACTTATTAAATGTGAATATTGTATAATTCATATCTAGTCTTATTACATAATTTATATCAATAAAGCAGTTTTATTATATAATTCGGTTAATGTTCTTATTTCACATATTATATTTTGTGACATATCACATATATTTTCTATTATTTCACCAATATGCTCATATTTCTCATATATATAATATGTGTCATATCAATTGTTCTTAAAATCAGCTATAAAATTTGGTACAATCTTGTAGCAGAAATAAAAAAAATCTTTCAAAAATGGTGATAATGACATTTCTTTAACGGTGGGAGATAAAACGTAGTCTATTGATTTTTTCAAAAGGATTACAACATTTAAACTTGAGATTAGGCATATAAAAATATAAATACACAAATAAAAATACATATTTTTTTTACTTTAACATTTAATAACATGTTTCAAGGATAAACATGGATTGAGATCACTTGGATAATATCCTTTAACAATTAGTCTTTCTAACACTTTGTTAGAATAATGTCATATCAAATTTTCTATAGTAATTAGTATAATATAATCATTGCGATTTTAGTTATTATTAAAATTACGCGCTACGTTTAGATTTTAAAAGAAAGACGGTCGAAAAGATATAAAATAAAATTAATTGTAATGGCGGATGAGATAATAATAGAAAATTCGGACCAAACTGACAGTTCAACAAATGCTGCAGACAGTGAGGAGGAAGAGTTAGATCAATTATGTGAGGAAGTACTCGAAGTATCACATCAGGAAATATATGAGGAAGTACAATATATTGGCGAACCTCCTTGGATAGGGATATATATAATCAATAAATTGAAAGATCGGATTTTTTACCCAGAAGACGGGGTAATTTTTTCTATTAACAAACTCTATTATTATGTTTTACGCTCGTAAAAAAAACTGCAATATTTCGTGAAAAAATCTTTCTAACATTTTTAATAACAATCAAATATATAATAGAATTGGTACTTCTAATGCTATAATAAAAATATCTAAATGTACATATATAGTATTACGAGATTCTATTCTCTGCTGTGAGAATCAGTCGAACATAAAATATTCTCTTTCTTTGTTACTTTCTTATTTATCTTATCATTTTATTTCACGAATTTATCATTAATGCAATGCGTGCTGTATATGAATGAAAAATATTCATAAGTTTGATATAATATTGTTTGATTTCTCGATAACTTTTTTTCGGTATATATTCGATTGTTTAGAAAACTGAATTCGGAAAGTGCAATTTGTAATTGTAAAAATATTATTAAAAATTTTTTATTAATATAGCAAACTACATTAATGCTGTTACAGTCACACATATTCACGGCTGTAGACAATTAGTGTAATTACAATATTTACCGTTATCTTTGTTTTTAGAAACTCGATCTTAATAACACGAATTCTTTTCTGTGTTTCTTATCAAAGCAGAGCGTATTTGGAGATGTGAAATTGTTTCTTATAGAACATAATTTCTTCTGCATGGCAAAGTATTTATTGAAAAATGATCCATATTTTGCGACAATTGTATGATAAGTTTATCTTATAAAATATTCTACCTCTCTCTCTCTTTCTATAGCAATCATTTTAACGATTAATAATATATTTTCAGAAGTTTGTTTTACGTATTATTATCAATTTATGCTATATTAACGAAGTGATAGATGTAATAGCCACAAGCAGAGAATTTATTAGAATAATCTTATCTTATCTGCAAAAGAGCGAAGGGGATCAGGAAGTATTAACAAACATTATAATATTGTTACAATTAGCGGCATGTGAAATTCAGATAAATCCTGAGTCAGAATGGATAGTTCGTTTCAACGAATGTAAATTTTTCGGAGGGAGAATAATCTTCCTACTAAAATCTTCACAATTTCGGCTTGGTACATTAATATAAATAATACAAATATAATAACAATTTTTTACGAAAAATTGTATGCTTATTTTTATACAAAATCTTTAATATTACCGAAATATATCTTATTATGTAATATACTATAATATATTGTAGGACAGTTGATTCTATCCAATTCAATTTTTGAAAATTTCTTTGTAGGTATGGAAATAGTACATTTGATTGAATGTATACAAGAAATAAATTTGCCAGACCAAATCAGTTTCTTTGAACAGCTATTTGATATTGATTTATTGATTCCTGCTAGGCAATTATTTCTCACACACGTCATACTGGACTACAATGGGTTAATGTTTTCAAAAGACGAATATTTTATCGAAACTTTTTTACTGTTTCTAATCATACGACGAATGGAAGTCGGAACTGACAAATATATAACTGATCGTTTTAACTTGGTTACATCGAACTTTGGGAATGAGAAATTACATCAAAAATTTGTTAATGACATTTATTTAGTAAACATTGATAAATGTATTAGATTATTATACCAAATTGTGGAAATGTTACTGAGATGTCTGTATATCCCAAAAATATATGGAGGAACTACAAATTACTTAAATGGTCTTCTGTTAATGATTTTAGTCATTTTAGAGCGAGGTACATTGAATTATGTATATGTGTACGTGTAATGTATCTCACATTGCGGAATTCCTGTATATAGTTGCCTAATAATGTGTATTTTGTGTCTTTTTAATTATAGCAAAAGAACTACAGTTATCAGGAAAAACATATTTAAATATGCAAAAGTTAAAGAAGCTCTTGAATATATATCGGTTGCATATTTTTAGACAATATACTTGTAAACAGATTGGATATATATTGATGAATTTAATGAAAAAGGACGAAATTTTTGAATACTTAGCTAATTGTATAAAACGAGATTTCAATATGATACCTGAGTTGTGTGAAAAAATGAAAAATGTTCTAATCGCATGTCATGAAATTCATAATTAATTAGTGCTTTACTCATGTAATACAAAAATATAAAAAAGATCTTTTCTTTGTTTATTTTGTATGTATATTAGTTGCAAAAGTATTTTTTTTATTGGCAAGGTAACAGTGACAGTTTAATTTATTTTGTCGTGTTTTATCTCATATTTAACTAGAGAATATGTGAAAGCATATATAGAGACAGTTTTTCGTTATATATGTGAAGCTATTGATTAAATTTATTAAGAGTTCGATCAATTATTGGAATAAAATAATGTAAAATATTCGTAACTATGCGGATATGCGGTAGCTTCGCTTTGTACTTTGCATAAAACATGACCGTGTGTTCTAATTTCTTTAAAATTTCACTATCAATACTCAATCGATGTGAATAGCGAAATGGGAAGGAAATTTTTTGAATAGTATATATAAATGTTATATATACACATATTTATAAATAATGTGCATAACTTTTTATATTGATATTATATATGTATATAAATATAGTATTATATAATATGTATGTTATATGTATATATTTATATACAATATTTAATATGTATACTATAATTGTAATGTATATATATATAATATATATTTAATATAATACACGACATATATAATATAATATATATAGTATAAAGCACATACAATATATTCACAATAAAAATAAAGTTATGTTTGTAATTTTAATTGTAGAAGCGTTCACAACTGTATATGTATAACAAGAATTGATTGACGTATATTCATTGGCAATATTGTATTTTTATATAATAAATCGTCTGTTAAGAGAAGTTGTGATTAATGATAATTAAAATGTTATTATTTACTGCACTCGTTAATTAAGCACTGCCATGATTGAAGAAAGAGAATAACTTAGCGAACTACGTGTTAATAATAATTGAAGTCCGTGTAATTCAATAATAACATCGATATTGCGACGAAAAATTTTAAGATACGTTTTTTTACACAGCTTGTGTTTTTTTTATCTCAAAATACAATCTCACATGATTATCCTCGAATCTGTTACTTTGACTGTTATTCCAAGTGCAAATATTAATCTATTATATAAGAGGTCATATTAACAGGAAAAAATTGGCATTTTATTAATAAATTGGGAATTCATGAAATGTAATATAAATTTTATTATTCTAAGTTCAAGATTTAATAAAAAAGTAAAAAGGAAAAAATTAATAAAACCGTCAAAGAAATATTGAAATACGTTCTATATTTATTATATAAGTTTATTAATTTATTATATAAGAATTTTTAAAAAAATCGTGTTTATCAATATTCTATTATCGAAATATAATTATGCGACAAATGCAAGTCGGAATTGACAATTATATAACTGATAATCGTTTTAACGTGGTTGCATCGAACAAATTGGTATTTTCTGTTAATTCCAATTTTTTTAAAAATAAAGTAATAAGGTATTAAAGATATTGAAACATTATGCCGTATTGTGAAAACTTATTGAGATTTTGTGGTATGTTCCAAAAATATATGGAGGCACTCGAAATTACTTAAATAGTAGGTATCATGTTAATTAATGATATTAATGATGTTAATTATTTTAGAACAAGGTAAGTTTAAATATGCATATGTATATGTGTACATGTAATATATATCTCATATTGCGGAGTTTATGTATACAACACTTAAACTTGAGATTAGGCATATAAAAATATAAGTACACAAATAAAAATACATATTTTTCTATTACTTTAACATTTAATAACATGTTTCAAGGAAAGACAAGAATTGAGATCACATACTTGAATAATATTCTTTAACCGTTAGTCTTCCTAACACTTTGTTGGAATAATGTCATATCAATTTTTTTTTAGTAATTAGTATAATATAATCATTGTGATTTTAGTGATTAGTCAGATGTTACAGATTTAATTACTAAAATTACGCGCTACGTTTAGATTTCATACGAATACGAGATATACGAAATTATTTAAAATTAATAAAACATTTAATTAATAAAAATTATTTATTTAAAAAATATTTAATTAATAAAAATTATTTTTAGCTGTACTAATGGCAATATATTATTACTATATTACTAATTACGATTATAGCGACTATAATCATCGTGCAAGTTCGAGCTTCTTATTTTCACGTTAATATTTAATTAATTTATTGATTTATGGCTGAAAAATTATGAATATAAAAAAAAAATCGAATTACGAAATTATTCATTAAAATTAATTAAAATTATTTATCAAAATTATTTTTAGCTGTACTAATGGCAATATATTAATTACTATATTACTAATTACGATTGTAGCGACTATAATCATCGTGCAAGTTCGAGCTTCTTATTTTCACGTTAATATTTAATTAATTTATTGATTTATGGCTGAAAAATTATAAATATAAAAAAAATTGAATTACGAAATTATTCATTAAAATTAATTAAAATTATTTATCAAAATTATTTTTAGCTGTACTAATGGCAATATATTAATTACTATATTACTGATTACGATTGTAGCGACTATAATCATCGTGCAAGTTCTAGCTTTCTATTTTCACGTTAATATTTAATTAATTTATTGATTTATGGCTGAAAAATTATGAATATAAAAAAAAATCGAATTACGAAATTATTTAATTAATTAAAATTATTTATCAAAATTATTTTTAGCTGTACTAATGGCAATATATTAATTACTATATTACTGATTACGATTGTAGCGACTATAATCATCGTGCAAGTTCGAGCCTTCTATTTTCACGTTAATATTTAATTAATTTATTGATTTATGGCTGAAAAATTATGAATATAAAAAAAAATCGAATCACGAAATTATTTAATTAATTAAAATTATTTATCAAAATTATTTTTTAGCTGTACTAATGGCAATATATTAATTACTATATTACTGATTACGATCGTAGCGACTATAATCATCGTGCAAGCTTTCTATTTTCACGTTAATATTCACATACGGCCACTTAACAGCGGATATATGTATGATAGTGAACCAATTAACTGATCATAAACAAAGCGCAAATTCCATGCGAATATTCATTGCAATAATATGACACAAATGTACGTATATATATGGATGGATCTGCGTAATGAAGAGCGGAGAATAATAATAATATGTCCATATGGATACACAGAGGACATTTCTGCTCCTTTTGTCACGAATGACACGCATAACAATTATCGGACATGTTAATTGATGTTTTTAATGACAACGCCCGGAAATCGTTTATTACTTTCGATTATTATTAACCGTTATTGTTTATTCGGCTGTTATCATTATATCCTCTGCTCGTCTAAATAATATTCGACTGTGAGCGAAGTTAATTTGAAAAACAATTCGCAGAAACTTTTCGCTCACCTCATCGTTTTACATGCGGCTTTATATATTTCGCGAGAGATAAATGTCAAGCGGAATTCCAGCGGAAATATCTTTCGTTCGTAAATATCGTCGGTGGAAAAGCAATCAAAATGTCTTTTACTCTTGTTAAACAAAAGTCTTCGACCTGCAGTGGCTCTGCCAACTTCGCCAAGTCAAATGTTGACCTCCCCTTCTACATACATACACATACACACATGTACATATATACCTATACATATATCCATAACTAGCGGTTGCTCTCGATCCGCTGCTTTCGATCACGTCGTGAGCTAACAATCGAACAACTCACTGCTGAGAAGGCGAAATTCAGTTCCTGAACTAATTAACTTTCGGATTAATAATTCTGCATGTACAAACGCGCTCAGAACTATGCGGCGAGGTTTTGTTTTAGATAGCGAGAAGCTCAACATGCCCATAATTTCGCTCTGATAATCGGAAATATGGACGAACCGATGATATTATATGTAAAAAAAAAATATAAATTTGATACAATTTTATTCTACAACAATTATATCCGCAACAAAAACAGCGACAGCGCTAAAGCAGATTAAATCCCAGTGTAAGCTTGTAAATTTACGAGGAAATTTTATTAAATTTCGAATAGCGCAATATATAATATATATGTACAGAGTGATTTTAAATATATTCGAAAAATTTGAAGAGATAATTTTTTGGCGAGAAATCTTTTATATAAATATATATAAAATTCAGAGAGATTTCCAAGAAAATAAAGTCAATTTATTAAAAATTAATTTATCGTATAAATATACCTATTCATATTCCTATATATTGTGAGAGAGAAAGGTAAAGATTATAGATTTTTATTTTTTTCTCAAATTTTGTACAAATTTAAAAAAATGAAATTTGATGAACAGTTTTTACTAGGATAAAAAGGATATTTATTAATAATTGATTTCTTTTTAATTCTCCTGTTATTATGGGAATAAGACTAGGAACCTTTATTTAATTTTTTATTAGAACTTTTTAACGGATCGGAACATGATCATTTAAAAATGTGTTAGAAATGTATTTCTTTAGAAATGTTTTATTTCTATTTTTTTCGTAAAATCGATAGTTTACAAAAAAAAGAAATAAGAAGCATTATAAGCACAGAGCACAACATGGTTTTGAGTTACATAAAATTGAAGTTTATAAAATAAAAGAAAACAAAAAAAACAATTATAGTAAATGTTGGGGAAAAATGGAACAAAAATAAAATTTGAGATATAGGTAAATACATATATTTATATGCAAATTCCCCTTAATTTTCGACAAAAAATCTCTTAACATTTTTTGCTTATTTAGAATCACTCTGTATATGTGCGAGAATATAAAATTGACGTAAAATCAAGAGAATCGAGATTATATACTCGCAATATTAATATACTTCTTCCACTTCGATGCGTAGCTGAATCCAGCTGAAAATTTATGCCGACTGCGGTCGGCATTTTTATTACCCATTCCAGCAGTATAGAAAATGGAAGTCACGGATGTCATCTTACGATATACACCTAATCTGAAATGTATGTAAAAGTGGAGAAAGCGCGCCGCAATCGTATACGTCATTTGTGGCAATTATGCGCATTTTATATTACACGATTATGTTCCTCAGAAAATAAATTAATATATATATATATTC